CGGCGGTGCTCATACTTAATTCAACCTACAAGACCAACAAGTATAAACTTCAATTATTTGAGATGGTTGTTGTTACCTCAACTAAGAATACATATTATGTTGGTTTTGCATTTCTTGAGTGTGAAAAAGATGATAATTTTACTTGGGCATTAGAGGTGTGTCGGTCACATTTAAAGAATCAAGCTGAGATGCCTGAAACGATTGTTACCAAACGTGATACGGCATTGATGAACTCAGTTTCTAAGATATTTTCTTCTTATTATGCATTACTATATAAGTATCACATAACAAAGAATGTGAGAAGTCGGGTAAACTCGCGGTAAGGACGAAACCAATAGAGTCAGAAGGTGAAAACTTGGTGAAGGCGGGTGTGATTGTGGAAATTAACTGATGCATGGAATCGAATAATAAATTCTTTCAAAAAATAAATATATGTCGATTCCATTATTCATTTATGAAAAGTGTGTGAAAAGTATCCTGCTTTGTTGAAATATGTTGAAAGCATCATTCCTGATCAGGTGAAGGAGAAGATAGTTTGCACGTGGACTGATAATGTTAGACACCTTGAAAATACAACTACTAACAAAGTTGAGTCGGCTCATGGTACTTTTAAATTTTGGTTAGGAAATAGCAAAAGGGATTTGTGTCAAGACTGGGACCTCGTGAACCACATGATTCAGAACCATCATAATAAAATACAGACAACATTTGGTCGAAGCATCACGATTTTAGAACATCGATTTAAAGACAACGCTTTATATTCTCAGTTGGTCGGTAACATTTTTTGGGCGAGTTTGAACTATATTTTTAACGAGGCTAAACAAGTTTATAACATAGGCTCCGATAGCGCAAAGTGTGGTTGCACTATTGTGAAAACATATGGTCTCCCATTTTTTGTACTCTTGCTAAAAAGGTGAAACTTGGTGAACCAATAAGAATGGACAACGTTTTCTCTCATTGGAAGAGACTTAGGTTCGATGATTATGGGTGCATGGATGACGGGAAATCGAATATCTCTATTTTGACCGAATGGGAGGCGATACAAGAGAGATTTTCGAAGGCCGATATCATCATCAAACTCCACATTAAAGAACAATTGAGGAAGATTTCCTATCTCAAAACCGCCGACATGAAACCGCCTTTTCAACCGGTAAAAACAAAAAGTGCTCCGAAGAAAATGAAGCCTACTGAATGACAACTCGACCACACAGTCTCCTTCAATATTTTGAACACGTTGACAAAGTATTTTCCGACCCACTGACTCCAAAATCTATAAAAAGTGTTGTGAAAGAAGACCGCATTAGCAAATTACCTCTGACGCCGCTTCTACCGAAGATTCCATTCATCGATGAGATGCCAGTTTTTATCCACAAATATATCAAACGGATCGTTGATGTTATGGGGGAAGGTAATTGCGATTACCGAGTCGTTTCGGCTTTACTCGGTAAAGGAGAAGATAGTCATGCGCATGTATGAGATCAACTTATCCAAAATTTGAAGACGCATAAAAAATCATACACATGATTGTACGAAAATAAAAAAAATAAAAAATTGATGCAGTTTATGAGTTTTTTGTTCCTTGCTTGAGCAATCTGGCACCGGAGTCAAAATGGATGAACTTCCCGAATATGAGTCACCTAATTGCATTTGCATATGATAGGGTGTGCATTGACCTGACATGCTACGATTTTTCAAAAACCTTTTTCCCACTACACACCGCACCACACCAAAATTCAAATGATCGTATCATGTGTATTTGATGACTTTCAAAATCAAGTCATTATGTTAAAGTATACTTGAATCTGGATTGCACCATACCACCTACATTATTGGAGTGGGTGGTTCATTCAACCGCAAAAGTCGAGACATGGTCGGATCATTTCATGAAAAGGATGCGAGAATTCGAGAGATTTAACAACATTGAAAAAGAATCGAATGCATAAAAGTTCAAGGAGGTATCACCTTTAGATTTAGCCGACGACACTTGTTTCGATTTATTTTGATTTCTTGTTTAACCGGACAAATTATTGTATATATTTGTATCTCACTGTAAATGAAGTGTTACGTATTCACTTTTTATTCATATTTGGTTTTTATGCATATTTCGTTCATATTTCATCTTAATGTGAATGTTTGTTATATGGTTTTGTTTTGGAAATGGTTCAAGAAAAGTTTCGGAGATACATCTCTGAAAAGTCATGTTACATCTGCAGAATGTGTGTGTGTGTGTGTGTGTGTGTGTGTGTGTGTGTGTGTGTGTGTGTGTGTGTGTGTGTGTGTGTGTGTGTGTGTGTGTGTGTGTGTGTGTGTGTGTGTGTGTGTGTGTGTGTGTGTGTGTGTGTGTGTGTGTGTGTGTGTGTGTGTGTGTGTGTGTGTGTGTGTGTGTGTGTGTGTGTGTGTGTGTGTGTGTGTGTGTGTGTGTGTGTGTGTGTGTGTGTGTGTGTGTGTGTGTGTGTGTGTGTGTGTGTGTGTGTGTGTGTGTGTGTGTGTGTGTGTGTGTGTGTGTGTGTGTGTGTGTGTGTGTGTGTGTGTGTGTGTGTGTGTGTGTGTGTGTGTGTGTGTGTGTGTGTGTGTGTGTGTGTGTGTGTGTGTGTGTGTGTGTGTGTGTGTGTGTGTGTGTGTGTGTGTGTGTGTGTGTGTGTGTGTGTGTGTGTGTGTGTGTGTGTGTGTGTGTGTGTGTGTGTGTGTGTGTGTGTGTGTGTGTGTGTGTGTGTGTGTGTGTGTGTGTGTGTGTGTGTGTGTGTGTGTGTGTGTGTGTGTGTGTGTGTGTGTGTGTGTGTGTGTGTGTGTGTGTGTGTGTGTGTGTGTGTGTGTGTGTGTGTGTGTGTGTGTGTGTGTGTGTGTGTGTGTGTGTGTGTGTGTGTGTGTGTGTGTGTGTGTGTGTGTGTGTGTGTGTGTGTGTGTGTGTGTGTGTGTGTGTGTGTGTGTGTGTGTGTGTGTGTGTGTGTGTGTGTGTGTGTGTGTGTGTGTGTGTGTGTGTGTGTGTGTGTGTGTGTGTGTGTGTGTGTGTGTGTGTGTGTGTGTGTGTGTGTGTGTGTGTGTGTGTGTGTGTGTGTGTGTGTGTGTGTGTGTGTGTGTGTGTGTGTGTGTGTGTGTGTGTGTGTGTGTGTGTGTGTGTGTGTGTGTGTGTGTGTGTGTGTGTGTGTGTGTGTGTGTGTGTGTGTGTGTGTGTGTGTGTGTGTGTGTGTGTGTGTGTGTGTGTGTGTGTGTGTGTGTGTGTGTGTGTGTGTGTGTGTGTGTGTGTGTGTGTGTGTGTGTGTGTGTGTGTGTGTGTGTGAGAGAGAGAGAGAGAGAGAGAGAGAGAGAGAGAAAGAGAGAAATCAACATGACAATTAATGAGTGGTTCATATTGAGCTAGATTTTCTATAAATTTAGGCGTTCTTGTGTTATAATTTTCAATATGTCTCAAATGTCACAAATAAACATATGATGGTATGTCACAAATGTCTCTTACTCCTGCGGCTCTACACTCAGGCGATCGTTTAAGCTCACTAATTTCACCTACTTCAGAGATATCATAGACGAAATTCAATATCTCCTACCTTACGAAAACAAACAAAGGATTGTGAAGCTTGAGTATCCTTCACCTTCAGTTGACAACGAAGGAAACATCGTGTTCAGTAAATTTAAACTCAAGACTCAAGTGAATATTAGAGCTATGTGGGATACGTATTTCAATTTCGAAGAGAAAGTTCTGCTCGAGTTGGAAGCGACGCTACAAAGATCTGTCAAAAATATTTTGTAAATACGCAAGCATCTACCGAAATATTAAAATGTAACATTTAATTTTGTGTTGAAATTATCATTGTAATGATCATTTTATGTTATGTATATCAATTGCATTTTAGAAATTTTATTATTCATATAATGTGTTTCCGATCTTTTTCTGAATATGTAACTAGGGACATGTTTTAAATATACATCTCTGAAACATAATTATACCTAACATATAGGACAGCATTTAGAATTAACACGCCTTTCAAAATTGTCGTTGAATGTCCAAGAGACGTGTCCAAAAATATATATCCAAAAACCAAAACCATTAGTGAAATTTCGCTCAGTACTGCGGTAGAAAGATATAGATGCAATTTGAAATGGTCTAAAATATACTTCACAAATTTATACATAAATACTTTCACTAAAAGGTCCAAATAAATCTAGCCCAAAAATAGCCCCAAATAAATTATTTATCAAAGCGTACCCCAAATCCCTCTTGTAATTAAATTATTGAATTTCCCAGGAGCATGTAAATTTGTCATCTACTAAATTAGTATAGACCATTTCCTTATTCCTAATCAAATTTTTCTAGTTCACCTATTCAAACCATCTTTTATAGTAAAAGAATAGATGCATAATAGAATCAGGATAAATGATTCACAAACTTGAAGTCCTAAAACTCAAAGCTATTTAATGGATAAAATGTTGAGACCGCTGAAGAAATGATTTTCCAGCGTATGAATCAATTAAAAAGGTATTGTTGAATCATTTAACTTCAAGGGTTAGATAACTTGGGTTAGCAATATGAAAGAATAATATTACGGCAACATTGAACCGACCTGGTAACAGCCACTGAAATACAGATATAACGTAACTTTTAATGCCAAAAATATATTCCAGATGAAAATTAAGAGTAAAATTGAAGAAAATTTGATCTCAGCCTAGGCATTGCATTTGTGTCCATGCTTATGCATAACAAAACAATCAAATAAATGTGTATTTCCGTTTGACAGATGCGTGTGGTAATAATCCTAACACGCAAAATTATATCATTCCTACCTAAAAAGTTTTCAGAAACTGGAAGGGATGCGAGCAAAATCATCCTACCAAAAATTAAACCAAATGCAAGATAAAATGGAAACAATGTCTGAACTTGAAAAGAATATTATCCAATCATGTTTTGAGAACTTGGGCAACCTCAGCAACCCTCTGTTTATTTATGGTCCCTATTGCTGCTTTCCTGCGTTACTTAAACAAACTATAAATTGTCATCGTTGGTTGCTTTATGCCTTTATGGTCTCAGCAGGAGGAGCAGCACCACCAGTTGTTGGCCTAATAAAGAAAACAAAATTTAATAGGGACGTCTTGATGTAAAACGCAAAATGTATGAAACAAAATCACAGACAAGCAGTTGTATAAACTTACAGCCCCACAAAGACTTTGAAAGCATCATATATTCCCCACTGGGCTCCTGTAAGTGTTCCAATCATAACAATACGGAGAGGGAGACCTCGGGTGAAAAGACCCACCACACCAAACTTCTTAACAGCCTGCATTAAACATTAGATAACATCACATCAGATATACTTGTTTGAATCAGACAATGCAAAACAATTACATAAATATGACCTAGAAGAAACTCACATCACCGACGGTGGCACCTTTGGCATTGTTCAAAAAAGATACCAGATTATCAGCAGGATGAGACACAATTGCACAGAGGACACCAGCAACATATCCACCAGCAAAACTGACACCAAGTTGCAGAGATTTGCTGCACTCACTCTTTGGTCTGGGGATAGCGTGTTTATAAATTTGCTCAACAATGGTCTCAAAAGAGGCAAATTTCATCATTGTGTCTGCAATAAATAATAATGACATGAAAAAAACAAATTACAAACTTAAATTGCATAACAGCAAACCCCACTACCAATACTCATATCATAAAGTTTCATCATTTCTCAGAAAAGAACAATTACAATTTTTTACAGACAATTAAGGATAGATAAGTAGTGATACAAAAACATGTTAGTAATATGATAAAAGTGAGTATTAAAATCATCAAAAAAAATATTCAGGACATTGTCACACCTCCGTAAATATTATTTTTTTTAAAAACATTATTCCACCATAAACATGCCTCGTTACATAACAGTGAGAGAAAGGTTGTGATTAACTAAGATAATCAATTATGAATATAAAGTCAATAAATAGTATTGCATTTAAAACATACATTAAATAACTACATCTCTTCAAAACAAATCAGAAACTAGTCAGTTATTTTCTAACAGAACTGATAAAGAAAAAATGCAAGATCAATGAGAACTTAATGAATATATACATAGACAATTTAAGAGAATGTAACTTGTATCCTTGATAAATCTTTGACTTGCTCTTCAATGAATTATCAAAAATTCATTAGTAGAATCAGGTTTTAATATTAAATGATAAATTCTAACAACAAAAATATCAACACAGCAGTCAACAAAATCCAATTTCAAAATTGACTAGAAGACCAACAGCATAGCGATACATGGCTAACAAGCATAGCATGAGAAGAAACGTGATAGATTGAAAAAATGATGAACAAACAAAAATGCCTCAGCAGGTAAGCTAAGTAATGGATATGGAGCGGCATACAAACAATCAACTCAACAAGATAGACTTTTAATAAATACAAACTACAAATCGTTAAGATGACGAACATACATGGAATTTGTCGTCCCCATAGAGGAACTAATCCCTTGTACAGCCTGAAACCATGAGACTTATAGTTAGATAACAGCCTAATTCCAAGTTTAGATTAAGAGCAACAAAATAGAATCACACAACATCCTCTAGTCTACCATATCAGTTCAGAAGTGAAATAGTTCATAAGCATACCCCAAAACTCCTTCCGATTTGACAAACTTTGGGAGGCCATCACCAAGACCTCTTGCGAAACCAGGTTGAGTTTGAACACGTACTTTCACAGCTTCGAATGGGCAAAGTGCAACATCAGCAATGACCTCAGCAGATGCTGAACCAGCGAGGTAGATCAAGGTCTTGTACTTGTTTGCATACTCAGGACCAGCAATATCAGAATAGTACTTCTTAAAGAACTCATAGAATCCAAATTTGCAAGCACCCTGTGCACTGTAACCAAGCAAGGTAGGAACCCAGCCACGGAAAAAACCCTTGATTCCCTGCTCCTTGAGCAAAACTCCAAACCCTGATGAGATGCTCTTGTACTTGGCAGGGTCAATCTGAAATCAATAAGCAATCCACACATTACAACACAATACAAAGCTACAACAACGATTCTCGCAACAACACTAGTAATTAACATTATAATAGAACACATGCATCAAGACTACTCACTCACCACAGAATCCGTAATTCAAGACTGACAAACTAAGAAGTCGTCTAAGTCAATGTACAAAATATGAAAATGCATCACAACACAATCCTACTGAGAATCAAAACAAAGTAAAGCACAGCTAGAACAACAAATTCAAAAGACATGATCCAAATTACTGCATAAAACTGTAAAATGAACACAAAAATAGCATTACAAAGCTTCAGAATAACCAAATTGAATCGAAATTTAACAAAAAACGAATTAATTCAAAGAACCTACCAATTTAACAAACAAGCAACACCAAGAATCACAGATCTACTTAACCATAAGCAACACTATCACAATCACTAGCAAAATTCTTGATACAACGCGAAAATCAGAAAAACCTAAAAGAAAATCGCAGATCTAGAAATCCAAATCAAAACGCTACTAAACACAACACGAATAAACAAAGAAGCAAAATCAAGATCGAAGAATAACAATAGACCTGCATATTACACTTGACAAGGTCAAGAGGAGTGACGGTCATGTGAGTAAGACCACAGCTCAAAATTCCACCAGCAGTACAAGCAGCATAGAAAGCCGGCGAGTACATCTCGATCTTACCGGATTCCTTGGGAGAAGGAATCATGAAAGATCCAGTTCCAGTCAATGAAGGCGACGCGGCGGCGGAAGGAGCGGGGCCGGAACTGATGATCTGGTGAATAACCGGTAGGGTTCTAGGGGAAGAACCGTAGAGAAATGAAGGGATCATGTTTTTACGGACGGAAGTTTCTGATGACGGTGCCATTCTGTGAATCGATTTCTTCGAGAAAAGCGAAATATGCAAGGAAAATGCAAGGAAAATGCGAGAGAGGAGGTAAGAAAGTAGTTGGATTTCTCGCTCCTCAGTCTCTCCCAATTCTTCGCCGCGTTTGGACTCTATGCAGTATATGCTTTTATATGCACCAATCACTATTACTTTAAAAAAAATCTTATTATTTTTCTTTTTAGGGCATTGAATACACTTATATTTAGAAAAAAAATGTATTTTCAATCTCATGCTCAACTTACCATTTTAATCTCTTAACCAATGTCCGGAGGGCACTCGTTAGCATTTCCCTACTTTATATCGTGAATTTTTTTACCTAAATGCCACAAACTGAAAAATAAAAATGATGTATTTTCACCTAAATACCATTTTTATATGCACCAATCACTATGCGTCAGATCTTTAATCTCTTAAATAATACTCAACTTACCATTTTAATCTCTTAACCAATGTCCGGAGGGCACTCGTTAGCATTTCCCTACTTTATATCGTGAATTTTTTTACCTAAATGCCACAAACTGAAAAATAAAATACCAAATTGTCAGCGGTTGAAAAAAAATTCTAAATATGCCACAATAGGGTTCGTCCATTGGTTGAACGATCCAATGAATGTGCATTTTCTATAGTTGGAGTTCGGCCATCTGTTGGCCGACCCAACACTACGTAATTTTTTTTTGTTTTTTTTTATTTCAGGAATATATATATATATATATATATATATATATATATATATATATATATATATATATATATATATATATATATATATATATATATATATATATATATATATATATTATTTTATGTTTTAAATTATTTTTTATATAATAAAATTATTTAAATAATATTTTAAATTAATAAATAAATAATTTAATTATTTTAAATAATTTTTTAATATTAATAAATATTTTTCACATTATCTTATTAATTGTTTTTTATATATTAAAATTATTTAAATGATATTTTATATTAATAAATAAATAATTTAATTATTTTAAATTATTTTTTAATATTAGTAAATATTTTTCACATTATCTAATTAATTGTTTTTTATATATTAAAATTATTTAAATGATATTTTATATTAATAAATAAATAATTTAATTATTTTAAATTATTTTTTAATATTATTAAATATTTTTTACATTATCTAATCAATTATTTAACTAAATGATTATATAAAATAATAAATTAAATCATAAATAAAGGATATTTTATTAATATTTATGAGTGGAGAAAATACATCATTTTTATCTAAGCCGATTTGATGGGTCTGCCACGTTCGGACATTTTCTCCGCATATGACCGATTTCTCGACAAATTCCACATCTTCTTTTTTCTTTCTCAAAATCGTCTATTTCAGTTGTAATTCTTGTACTATTTGGACGCCCTTTCTTATTTCTTCGCATTGTCTCGTCATGGCAAAGAGTGAATCCTTCATATGTTGGTCAATTTTGCTGGTGTGAAAGTCCAAGGAAGCTTTGGCTGTATACTTTGAATACACTTAGAACCTTGAAAACATCTGGTATGTGCATGTTATGGTCCTGTCGTATATTGGCACATGTTGCGATTACATAGGAGCAAGGTAAATGAAATGCCTGAAACCTCCCACAATCGCACCACCCTCTCCTGAGATCAACGCTAAAAGTACCTAATGATCGGCCATCGCGTTGATTAATGCTTTCGGCAACCATAAAACAGAATCTCTCGCGATCAAATTGAATGACATTATGGCTGCTAGATTTACTCGCTTCGTCGGCCATTCCCTTGTTACAGTTTTGCGTGAAAGTTTGACCGGATGCTAACATTTTTGTCCAATCGTGTCCTCGTTTTCCAAACAACGATCCCAGACGATAGTACGTTGATTTGACCGATGCTGTAATAGGAAGGTTTCGGGTAGCCTTAAGTACCGAGTTCATAGATTCGGCCAAATTTGTGGTCATGTGTCCCCACCGCTGTCCTCCGTTGAACGCCCTCGACCACTTCTCTCTGGGAATATTGTCAATCCACTCCAAAGCTGCTCTATCTGTTCTTCGTAATTCGCCCCTGTAGTAGTTAAATGTTACCTCTGTTAGTGCATATCCTGTAGATGAAAATATTTAAACAAAATGATCAGTAAAACATATGAAAATTATTAAGTCAAAAAATAAAAATTAAAACAACAACTTGTGAAGATGTAGACATACCCATGTTGACAACTGTTTTCCGTAGTGCTTTATTTCTGAACTCGCGCATGAAATTTTGCGCAATGTGTCTGATATAGTAAACATGTGAAGATGGAGGAAACTGCCACCCATTTTCAGGATCATCGTAAGCACTCTTGATTGATGGATGTCGGTCGGATATTAGACAAAGATGGGCCTGTGGGGTCACGTGCATTCTCAAATTCCTGAGAAAGAAACTCCAACCATCCTTTGTCTCTCCTTCAACCAATGCGAATGCTATCGGGAAAATGTTACCATTTCCATCTTGTGCCACGGCCATCAACAAAGTCCCTTTGTACTTGCCGTACAACCAGGTTCCGTCAATTTGCACAATCGGTTTACAGTGACTAAAACCACAGATACACGGTTCGAATGTCCAAAAAAGTCGGTGAAATTTCCGTTTGTCACCCAATTAGGTTCCGTCCTCTGTAATAATCGGCAATGTTTCCAACTGTATAACAGTTCTAGGAAGATATGTCTTCAGCACCAACAACCATTGTGGTAGGTCATTGTAAGACGTCTCCCAATTCCCATAAAGTGATTCTACAGCTTTAATCTTTGCAATCCAAGCTTTCCGATATGAGATTCTATAACCGTATTTTTCAGCAATATGGGCTTGTATAACTTTGACTTTTAGTGAAGCGTCGTTGTTAACAAGTTCTCTGATGTTGTGGCTAATAATTTCAGAATCTAATTTTCTATGGTCCTGTGACATAGAAGTTGTTGTGCATGTGTGTGATCCTCTTATAGTAGCGATCTCCCATAATGTGTTTTTTTTACGCAATGCAGCTCTACATTTGAAGACGCATTATGGGTTCTTACATTTTATTATATACCTTACTGAATCAGATTTATATACTGCATAGTCAAGGTTGTTACTAATATGTCAATGTTGTAAAAAAATAACACATGCTTCCTTATTTTCAAACACCAAACCTACTTCCAATTTTTCACCATTATGGTTTGGTTTGTCATTTTAAAAAATATAGATGGGTTGAGAAGACTCCATACATATGTTTGACATATGCACTGGTGGATTGTACAGATTTATGGGTTGAGCATATATTACCTCTGAATGCATGAGTTCATCGTCACCCTCGTCATCTTCATCACCGAATAGATCTTCAAAGCGAACATCATCGAGTTCATCGTCACTGTATTCACCAATCTCCTCGTCCCGGATGAAAGGTTCATTATTTTGCGTTATTTCTTCATCAGTTATTTGGCTCACTCCGTATTGATGTGAATATGATGATTGTGTTGGATATGCTTCGTCTTCAAGGCGAACATATAACTTAATCGTCTTCAACTGGGGCATTGTGTAATGACATTGAAACATTGATTTGACTGCGCTGTCTGTGTCTATCTGCATCATTACGTATAACACACCACCATCTACCCCATTAGGTAATGGTTGACGGTAAGTAATATCCTGAACTGAACTATTCACTTTTTTTTTAATTCTATCTTTTAGATGAAGGATATCAGAACTTCGGTGAAGTTTGAACATCACCGTATCTGTTCCATTGAATGAAAAATCGATATTTTCATCAGTAAACACAGAACCATTGTAGTGCATAGTTGCCAATGTATTTCTATCTGCCATGAATGATTTTTTGATACTGACAGTGTGGGAGTGGGAGTTAGATGTGTAGTTTGCAACAATTGCATGAAAAATATATAGAACATACGTGCATGTTGAGCTAGTTAAGGGTCGTCCATCCAAAGGACAAACTCATTCATGCTTAGTTATGGGTCGTCCAACCAATGGACGAACCTATGAGGAACGTGTAGGGGTTCGGCCATTCCAAGGGCGAACCATTAAAGAGTGAAATTTGCATGCTGGCCATGTGTCGTTGCATGCTTCTAGGGTTTAATACATTACGGTGCAGAAGAATCAATTTAGGCTGTAGAAGAATCATAGGGTGCAGTCTAGTATTGCATGCATGTTGTTTTCCAAAGGATATTGGTGTGTATTATGTAGTAGGGTGTATCCATTTTTCTTATAAATACATTCTAAACCAATATTTCAAAATCACCACTTCAGCATATATTCTTGAAAATCACTACTTCTAAACCAATATTTCAAAAAATAACATTCTAAATCAATACTTCTAAATGGAAATGTTGTGGATGGGAGAAAATAATCGAGGAACACCGGCCAATGTTGTCGCATTTGCAAGTTTTTTTTATTCACACTTGTGTTTTTTTTCTTCATCAAGTTTGTATTTATTTTTTTTATATTTGAAATAGTCCGATAGCGAGAGATTTAGACTACATTCTCATGTTATCGATGCACCAAGTGACACAGTCAAACCATTATTAGAACGAGAGGGTTTCGCAAAAGTTGCAGAAATCTCCTCAATCAAAGTTGATTCAAAGCTTGTAATCGTTATGTTGGAGAGGTGGAGACTAGAAACACATACTTTCCATCTACCAACAGGTGAATGTACCATCACTTTGGAGGATATGAGTATGTTATTGGGTCTTCGTGTGAATGGCAAGGTCGTGAATGGTCCTACTCAGGTAGGAGGTGATGTATATATGGAACATTTAGGTATCGAACCTACAACATCCGATAAACATAAAAGGTGTGTTAAAATTGTTTGGCTACAAACTACATTAGCACGATTACGACAAATAGCAACACCATCCGATAAGGATAGCATTCTCCATGCAAAAATATATATTTTACTACTCATAGGTAAAGTATTAATGCCAGACAAGAGCCATAACTATTTACATTCTTCTTGGATACCCCTAGTAGGAGATTTA